ATTGAGAGCATATCTATAATTGAAGGATTGCCTCAACATGGGGACGGCTGAGCCGGTGGCCGGCAGCTAACGGTGCAAATAGCGCTAATAACAGTGCAAGCAATAGCAACAGTGATGACGGAGCTAGCTGCATTTACTTGAGAGGGAACTGGAGAGTGGATCCTGGGTTGGGACGACGTTATCTTTGGTAACCCACCGTATGAGCGTAGTGCAGAGACTCGCGCACTAATATGCACATGACTTGATGGGCTACGTAAACAAAGCACCGCGAAGAGCGGATTACAACTCACACAGAGGTGGTGAGACTTGATTCTCTGCTCATGATGACATTACTCCACCATATCTATACATATCAAATAGTTGTTTGCTGCTATATTAAGGCACTGAATTTAGAATTTATCACCTTTAACGAGTTGATTAATTTCCTTTTAGTTTAACCAGACATAAAATATTTGACAAAATAAGCTACAATTTTTCTGTGCAGCACTTGTTAGTACTTTGACGGTCAAAACAAAACAAACAATAGGATGGAAAAATGAAAAGTTCTTACCGTTGGTTTCATGAAAATGTTCCTCCTATGGTCAAAATGATAACAGACACGTCTGGAACAGGGCTCATGTGTACACTGAGCTCGTGGTAAGAGTACACAGCAAGTCAGAGGAGAGATCTGCTACGGGAGTTTTTGTATATAGTTGCATTCTTCCACACCCTTCGCCAAGAAGTTCAATATATCAACTTGTTTACGAGAGAGTCAAAATTCGGTCGGTGCATATATTGTGAAGCAGTGTACAAAATGTGTTGGAGAGTGTTCAATTTAACCAGCAATACTGCAGGCTTAAGAAAAGATCAAGAAAGATAACATTGCTTTGTCATCACAAATTATGTATTTAAAAAAGTAATTTAATTACTTGAAAAGTAGAATCATCACTTATGTGATACTGATTCTGTTGTTTTCATGCAATCATTACAATATTCCTTAAAGACAAAGGGATTGTTGTTAAAAACAGGATTGTTGCATTTTCATACAGTCTGTAATTTTGTTGTTGAAAAATAAGTAATTAATGATTTTCTTTTAAATTTCTGAACATTTCACTGTTTATCTATAGTTATTACATGTTTCCTGAAAACTGATTCATCCATATAACGAGTTATGGTAAATTGACTTGTGTTTGTATTGTGCCTTTCTAGTCTTCCAACCAATGAAAGCGCTTTACACTACATGTCGTCATTCCAATTCTCACACATTATTATACTGATGGCAGGGGCTACAATGCAAGGGGCATCAGGACTAAACAACTAAACTTCACATTCACACAGATTCATAGGACGATAGCAAAGGCTTCGGAATCAAGTTGAGAATAAGCGTCTTTTATGCATGTCCCTATCTTAATCTATTCTAAATTCCATGCTAACTCAAGCTCATAAAATGGTAACAATAACAAACTTGATGTAGCTTAAACACATTTTTTCGTCAGTATGCAGTGGGAAGTGTTATTTGAAAATCACTATGAGCTGCAGCATCCCTTTTATGGTCAAAATGATAACAGCCCAGTTGAATTGTGCAGTCCCTTAAGACACTCTGAAAGGGAATCTGGCTCATTGTCATTGAAGTAACAATCCTCTCTCATCAAAACAAAGACTCTGCTTCTAATAGTAATAGATACTTTATTTAAGACAAAAAACACATACATTGTTGAATTATCTGGAAAAAAATTATCTTTTGTAAAGCCCTAGTGGACATTTCATCTTCTGGAATTAAAAAATGCTTTGTGGTTGATACATGGATGACTTCATTTTTTAGGATATTGATAGTGCATAAGCAAAAGTTGTATTTCACTCTCCACATAGAGTGACAGCATAACACACAAACATGATGGAGTCCTTATTTGCTCAAGAAGACAAACTCAAACTTCTTAGAAAAACAACTTCTTCCTGATAGACTAGCCTCAGATTAAACTTTGTTAAAACAGCCAATGGCTTTGATCAGCAAGCACAACAAAAGTGGAAATGTTCTGAACGAAAACTATTGTTACAATGCAATAATTATAATCACGTCAAATTCAAGATTGACAAACACAACACAGTATAGTACAATGGCAAATGTTGGACAATGTTAGTTCTGGAGGTTGTTTATCAAAAACAGTTTTTTTGTTTTTTGTACAGAGTGACAAACAAGATATAATATATTAATTAGTCATCTTTAGAGATGCTGGTTGATATTTAGCCTACAGACATGAAAGTGGTATAAACGTTCTAATCTAACTCTTGTCAAGAAAGCAAATAAGTGTATTTCTCAAAATGTCAAACTACTCCTTTAAGTGGCATTAGGGTTAAATGTATGGTTGGCAATATTCTTCAAAAACATGTTTGCAATATTGATTTAAATTCTCATTAGATTTCAAAAGCAAGTAATAAATAAAATGCTTTGAAAAAAAGAAAAAGAAAATCTGGTATTTGTGACTGTAGCAGGATTTAAATAAACAAACTGCTCGTAACCAAAGTCTTCCACAAGCTGCTAGATTAGCTGCCGTGAGTACTGACAATAGCCATGTTCGTTGATAACATTCATTATTCAATTTTTACCTTCATAATGATAATTTTGGGAGAGTGGCTTTGGAAGGAGGCCTGAAGGGCTGCCAGTGTTGCGACTTGGCAACTTTCTTGCTAGATTTAGCAACGTTTGAACCGAGGGCGGCCAGCTTCTTTTCATTGGAAAAGAGTTGGCAACACTGGGCTGGGTTTTTCGGATAGATAAAATCTAAAATACTCTTGCTAGTTTTTCAAGATTACCAACACTAGCTTTAGTTAATTGTATGATGTTCTTTTTTGTGTGTTGTTGATTTTGATTTTAGTACTCCGTTTGTTTAGTTGAGTTGAGATTGGCATTCGAATGACCGGACTTCCTCCACTGCCTTTTTCTCCTGCACAGCACTAGTGTAAACACTTCCCTTGCCCTCTGCTTAAAGTGCTTCCCCACAATCACATACAGGAAAGGATTCAACGAGCTGTTACTATAGCCAAGGTAAGTAGCAAACTGGTTTCCAATGTCCAAGACGTAACCCCACGTACATCCAGTGATGACTTCGTAATGATCCAAAGTGTCCAAGAAGATGAGAACCTGGTAGGGCAGCCAGCAGAGAATGAACACAGCCAGAACAACAAGAACGAGGTACGCCGCCTTTCTTTCTACACTGCCTCTGCTGCCTTTTCTCAACTTCTGGCTGCTGTGAAGGACTTTAGTGATGTGATAACTACAGAAGGACACAATGGGAACAGGGATAAGGAAGCCTACTGTGCTGACAGTCATGTTGTAGCGCAGTCGCCAGCCTCCATGGGGATACGCTAGGTAGCATGCGTCAATGCCCAGGTCAGGGAAGAACTGAACGGAGCGGAAGAGGATAGCAGGGAAGCTGAGCAAGACCCCAGCAATCCAGATACTGAAGCAAATCCCACGCGCCCAGAAGGCCCGTCTCTCCCTCCCCTGGGTTAGAGGTCTAGTGAGGACCAGGTATCTGTCCATGCTCACAAGCGTAAGAAACAGCACACTGCAATAATAATTCATCCCAATGACAATGTTGATAAGCTGGCACATGGCCTCCCCAAACCTCCAGTGGAACTTGTTGACAATGGTTGCCACCCAGAAGGGTAGGCAGGAAACCATGAGGAGATCAGCTGCTGCCAGGTTGCTCAGGTAGATGTCGGCCACAGAGCTGCGCCGCTTCTGGAGACAGAACACACATAGCACACAGGAGTTGCCGATCACTCCAAGAAGGCAGATGATGGACATGTAGGCCGGCTGCATGGTGTAAACCCAGTCCCATGCATCTGTGTGGTTGCAGACGAGCTCAGCTCTTGCGGCACTCTCCATCAGTAATGTGGATCACTGTGAAAGCTGTTGCAGAGTAACAGCGATTTTAAAAGGTAGAAAAATGAGGTTGTGTTCAAAACTAATGCATATAGGAGTGAAACCTTTTAACTGTGTCAACACAGGTTTATTGTCTGTGTCTTTATACATTCACATCCTGGTTTGAGTTCCAAAGTGAGAAGGATAATTGATTCAATGGAGTGTTTGGGACTTAATGGGGGTTTATCAGTCAGAGCACACAACCCGCACATGCCGTCGTCAGAGTGGGGAGTCTTAGCAACTGTGTGGAGCATGTCTGTGATTTAAAAGAAGCCAGGCCACACTTTCAAACAAATTCAAACAATATGATTACATACACACGCAAAGGGCATTTTAGTCCGACTGAAATGTCTTATTTCCTTATGCTTTTTGTGCCAGCTTCACAAGGAGACACACTGTCACTTCCATGGTACACTACTGACAGGAGTACGTTACTATACTGTTTTGCATTCATATGTCCTCCGCCCTTCCACCCACACATATGGTTGTGTTTTTATTCCTCTGAGAAAGTGGAATTTAGCAAGCTGGACCAACTACCATGATCCTGACAGGCAGACACAAATACATGGAACAAGGTCAAACTGTGTATTTTTGGCATGCATTTTACCCTTTGAGGTAACTTTGTCTGCCTGCATGCTTTTTTGTTCCACAACAATTTCCAGCTCTGGCAATGGTGGTAAAGCCTGACTCCTAACAAAGATTTCCTGTTTGGCACAACATGCCTTCATTTTGGATACTAATAAGGGTGTACCCTTGACCACAGCCCACAATAAGTCAACATCGGGCCATCAAATTGTGGAGTGGGGAGAAATGTAAAATGAGTCAACTGATGTGCATACAGCCAACAAAAAGGACCATGTTTGTGTGTCACCACTGGAAACTCTTTGACAGAATCCTGTTTTTTACTCTGCAGACTATGAGTCAAAAACACCAGAAAACACTTAGCCAGGCATGTTGTTGGGGCTCTGTTACAGTACGTCCACAGGGCTGAGCACACTTGTGCTCAACTAAACATTTAAATACATTTAGGGATATTCATAACATGCATAAAAACATCCATAAAAAGAAACATATGTATGTTTTATTTGACCTAATTTATTCATAGAAAAACACATACTGGTACTATTTATTATCTGAGTTATCAGCAATACAAAACAGAATATGACAACTGTATTTAAATAAGCTATTTTACAGCAACTGGGCTGATTCATATCACACCACCTGTACATTCAAAATATGTATGCTTGCCAATGTTTGTAACAAGAGGCCAGCTGTTGTTCATAGCACGTGGTGAAACTGTTTAAAAACGGAGAAAAACAAATCAAGCCTTGTATGGCTTTACACATATTACAACATCATTAAAACTTGGTAATCCGTTTGAGAAGACGTATCGTCAAAGATTGATTTGAGAAAGGAGTGATTTGGTCCCATTAGGCCGACTACACAATTACATCCACTACAAATCTAATAATGAATCAGCTTATCATCGAGGATTTACATTTGCACAAGACTATTACTACCACTACAGACATCTTTCTACAAAGTACATTTTTAATGAGAACATTGCTTTGGAAAACAGTATTTTATACCAAAGTCTTCAGTGTAGAGGACAGGTTTGATAAACGTGAAGACTCAGACGTGGCTGTTTTCTTGATCTTCCACTCCTTGAAGAGTTCACAAACTTTTTTACGAAAGTTCTTTCCCACAATAACGTAGAGGATGGGGTTGAGAACACTGTTGAAGAAGGCCAAGTAGGTGAAGATTTGATTGCAGATCTCTAGGACAGACTGGAGGTGACACCCGCTCAGGATGTCAGCTCGTAAGAGCACGTCCAGTGTGGTGACCACGTGGAATGGCACCCAGCAGATCAGGAACGCCAGGAGGACCGCCAGCACCAGCTTGGTGGCCTTCTGCTCTGTTTTCTCAGCATTGAACCTCTCTATCACCTGGATCTTCAAAGCCTGAATAATCTTGAGAGTGCAGAATGTGATAATGCAAATGGGGACGATGAAGCTGAAAATGATCAACATTCCATCAAAGAACAGCTCTGTGGTTAAATTTGGGTACTCCAGAAAGCATGGAGTTATACCAAACTCAGGCAAATATTTCATTTTCCTGAAGACGAGTGTGGGGACACACAGGAGCAAGCCGAAACCCCACATCAGCAGACAACCCAGTTTGGCATATTTTGGCCTACGCATTCTGCCATGGGAAATTGTATGCACCAGTGCCACATAGCGATCCATGCTAACCAGAACGAGGAAGTAGATGCTGCTGTAGGCATTCATCTTAATGCCCAGGTTGACGACTTTGCACATGAACAGACCAAAAGGCCAATTGAAACCGTTGGATATGTTGACGGCCCAGAAAGGCAAACAGGACAACAGGACGAGGTCGGCAGCTGCCAGGTTGCCCAAGTAGATCTCAGCCACAGTGCAGGCCTTCTTGTGGAAGCAGAAAACCATCAGGACAAACACATTGAACATGATTCCCAGCACAGTGATGAGTAGGATATATACTGGCTGACTATTGTGGAGCCACTCCCAGTCGTACGGATCAGGACAATCCATGCCATTAGTGTTGTTTTGGTCTGGAATGCTGTGGAAAACATAAAACAAACACAATTAAACATCGAGATTTAAACTAGGGATGTTCCGATTAAGTTTTATACCTCACAATCCTGATCCGATTAATTTAATATTGAGTATCTTCCTATACAATGTCCCGATATGATACTTCTTTTTTCCTTGATAATACAGCTGCACAGTGCTCACAACTAGATTGCATTTATTAAAACCAATTGCTTGACAGTTAAATCGAGAAAAACCTGCATCAAAGCTGTTCATTTATTTTTTGCAAGAAAGCAAAGTATAAAATAAAACCCTTCCTATAATCTTTTTGTCTTTCTTGCTGTCTCGAGGGAATTTCTCTCTCGTTTTAAAAGTGTCCTGCGGTGTTTGTTGCCCCAGTACAGTCTTTGCCTGAGTTACCTGAATGAAGTTCTTGATGTATTCTGTTGAGTGTTTACAACTCATTCCCTGAGTTGGCCTTAATGTCTCTACAGGAGCAGAGATGAACACAACTGCTTTACAGTCTTTTTAATCACATTCAAGCTGTATGAGCTTTGTAGTGCAATAAAATAAGAAAGCTACAACATAACCACATGACTGTAATAATTGAGCCTCTACAGACAGCTCATCATATCCTTTGAGCACCAACTTCATAACAAAGCGGTCTATTTAATTGTCCATTTCCAAAACTGTATATCTAACTGCAATTGGAACTATTGCAACCTTGAAATGCTCAACCAGCAGCCCTGCTTCCACCTATAATGCATTTACACTGTACCTGCGTCTATTTATCGTAGAACAGTGGTCACCATGTTCCAATAATGAGCAACATACTCGGCTCTGTTCTGTCCTAATTTCACTGGGGGTATTTCACTTTGCTCTGCACAATATGAGATATCATCTTCTTCCGAAAATCTGTTTTTCGTCAAAGTCAGCGACTTTTCTAAATGATACGCAGATGAGAATGTTTTTAAACAGCTGGCATTTAAAAGCATAGGTTTACATCAAATGTGTCACAGACAAGTTTTTTTTTTTTATTACTGTAAGTAGATACCAGCTCTGTGGCAGTGGACAAATTAAATGCATGAGCAACTGTTGCAAATTGCAACACTTACTTTATATATGTTGAATATTTGACCAAATATTTGTTATAAAGTGTCTGACTTTCTTATCTTCTTGTGCCACAACTGAGCTCAGATATGATTTCCATTCAATCAACACATTATTTTTGTGTATTAGGATAGAACAAACAAAACATTTAATCAGAATTTATATATAAAAAACGAGAGGGGGCTACTGCTCACTGCCATGTACCACAAAATATCTTTTTACTGGTTGGGTTTTTCATCTCCTACTTTGTGTTGCTTTATTTCACTGTATCTTTCAGTGGTATGTATCCATATATTCTGTAACCCAACACATCTTGATGTATGATAAATCATGTCACTATGTCACTACAGTTTTAATAGGTTTCTGTACATAGTTATTCACACAAAATGATTATGAAGCACAACACTACTGTAAGTTATACAGAAAATATTTTGTTATAATATAAATATGTCCTAATATATAATAAACAACAAATTAAGCCTATACCTTGTAGGTTGGAGAGTCATATTTCCTGAGAAAGTCCAGATGTCTGACAGCACTGCTTCAGCAACCCTCCCTTGCTGTCCTCACTCCGTCTCTGACTCGCTCTCTTATGAGAAACTGTAATTAAAAGGACATCTGCCAACTTCAAGCTCTGTTTTGCGCTCTCTCCTTTTTGCCCTTCTCTGAGTCAGATCTTCCTCAGCATCTCCATGTGTTTGTGATTGGACATAGTTAATGTTTATTTGCTTGAAGTTTTTTCATTGGATAAATATTTTTCTGTCTGCAGCCACTTGAGTTGGAAGTTAAAGTTTTAAATTGAGTGGGTGACGTCTGCCTTTGAGCCAAAACACTGTATATTACAGTTGTATACAGTTGTAGGTATTATTGCCTTGTTTTTGCTGCTTTGTCTGTCAAAGCACTTCGTGAACTCTGTTTTTAAAGGTTCTGTATAAATAAAGTTATTGACAATTTCATCCTAAACGGCACAAATAATATATTTGAGGAATTATTATAAATTTTGTGGGAAACAATGATAGTCACAATCATTTCAAATACATTTCCCATCACATAATGTGAGCACAATGCTATATCCTCGAAATTGAAGTGTAGTAGATTGACTATGCTGAAAGCCACTTATTGGATATGTTCATGTACTGTTCGCTGTACATTAGAGATAAATAAATTAACTTACTGCATTTACTTTATTGCAAGATTATTATTATTACAGTGAATAACTCCACCAGAGTTGGGTCTGGAGTACAACATTTGAGTGGTTTCAGTAGTGTATCATAATAGAAACAATGTTAGGCAGTGAAATGTTTGGTTACAGAGGGAAACCTGCCTCCAAACCCTGTTCCTGCAGAAAGAAGCAAACATAAAACCACTGCGTTGGCGCAGTGTACACATCCCTGCCAGATCTTTATAATGGGATTTGCATTTTTTGCTAAAGGAATTTGCGAGCCCTGCTTCCTGAATCCTATTTAATCGTGTCTCTGTCATGGTTTAGGCTTTGCTCCCTGTGTTCCTGTGTCTCTGTGTCTGTTTTCCCTGATTGCACTCATCCTACTCACCTGCCCAGTTCACCCAGCTGCCTTCAATCTTCTCATCACCCCATACATATATACTCCCCTGCTTTCCCTGTTCTGGTTGTCAGATCGTCCTTGTTCTTTCCCCTGTCTGTCCCAGTATTTTGTCTCCCTCGTGTTTGCTCGGTGCTCCAGGTCCTGGTTTGTACATTTGCCTTTTTTTGTGATTTTTGGATTTTTGCCCGCTCCTTTGGAGTCGCTTTCAGTTTTTGTTTATGACTTTTTAAGTAAAAGACCTTTTCCAACTTCACCTCGTCTCCAGTGGCTGTGTCTGCGCTTGAGTCTCTGATCTGCCCCTCGGACGTGACAGTCTCGATACAAGTTTTTAATTTCTTTTTACGCCTGAATGCCTGGTAAGAGGCACTCAAAAACACTTATGTACAATGAAGCTTTGACATTGCTGCTGCTTCTATTTAAAGTCTACGATCATTTTAGCCATTTCAAGCTCCTCTCCAAGATGAAATATTGGGCTTCTACAGGACATCCGAGAACATGGCCCGTCATCCATTGCTGCTCTCCTGCTACTCAGACCCTTCCCCTCTCCATGATGTCAAAATTGGCCATCCAATCTCTGTTTAATCTACCAAACTAAGATTTATAATAGAAAAATAATTTGATTTTCGACACTGTGTTCGTATGTATCGCTGATAATGCAGGAATATGGTTCGGTGGCTCAATCATCAAGACAGCAACAACATGGCAATTTGAGAGACATAAAGAGCTAAATGGGGAGAATGCTCTTTAAACCAAAAGCCATTTTCAATTTGGCATTGATTAGAATAGACAATGGGCTTAAAAGCAGTCAATGTGTGAAAACTGATCTGTTGTGTCATAGTCGTATGATTAGAGAGCAATAAACGCATGACCATGACTGTGATATTTCTGTTGCAATGATTTGCTTTTTTGCCACTTCCTGTTGCAGAGACATTGAAGAACAACACCACGATAATCTGCAATGTATACCTTAAAAGTGTAGCTGTTATTACATGCTTTTAGGGAGAGACCCATAAAAAGGAGTAAACCTGGTATCCAGGCGGAAGCAGTTAGCACCCTGTTGCCTATTTCCAGTGTGTGCTGGCACCATTCCCTCCCCAACCATTTGTTTTCCATGACAGGTCAAGTTGTTTATAGTACTAACAGCCAAGTCATGATACTTCCTGGTTTTGAAACTAATATATTGTGTCCTCCTTTTCCCATTTGAAATGTTAATAATCAAAATTAGATGTCTTATTTGATGGGTGTTTTTTATCCACTTGTATCATTGACGTCGGTGGATGAAGTCAGAACACCAATAGATGTAACGGTCAGTTTGTCACTCTGCGGGTTATTAACGGTCTCTTCTCTGTTCCTGTGTTACTGGATTTTTATACACTTGTATGATTGATGTACCACTGAGTGTATCGCACAGTACTGATTTCCCACTCGCACCACTTTTCAAAAGACATTTCCTTGGAACCAAATGCAGAGGAAAGTAGATATGCAAGGTTATGTAACACTGTTATTACAAACAATGGTGGTCCTTGAATGGCCAGGGTTAATGAGAGAATATTAATATCAACATTGATATCAAGACGTCAACTCCTTGACAGACTTTCACTTCAGACTGCACTGCTCTCCCTGGTTTGTTCTCACAATATTTAAGAATTTTTGATCTTCAGCCAACATCCTGCGGACCTGCAGGCTTCTCCAGTCACCTTGCTTTGCAATAACTTCTGGTTTGTTCATCATTTTCTCTCTAAACTTCATTCTGTCTCTTTATTGTTTATGCTATTTTGATTTGTGTTCACATAGAGACAACTCTTGAGTTACTTTATAGTATAGGCTTACCCTAAATCAATGAAATACCTCACATACACAAAATGACCTTGGAAAGCCATCTTTGTGGAATCGAATATCGTTCTTTTTTAGTTTTATTTAAAATTTTGCTCCATATCTCTGATGCTGAATCTAAAATGAGAGGTGACTGGCCGGATGTCTGGGTAAATGATTTGCTTTGACTGAAGTATCGTTGGTGTCGTAAAAAAAACATTAGGCAACATCTTAATAGGCTGAATATATAAAAGCTAAATGAGGCAATTAAGGAAAAGGAAAACCAGATTGGAAAAGGTGGCAGCTATTCCCACAAAGAACTGATCCAAATCATTATTTTGGCACTGAAAAACAATTACTGCACTCCTGGCAATTGCCTTAGCCATTAAATTAATTGCACAAATGGTCAGGTTACATACGTATATATAATCTCCCTTCCAAACAAATGTCCTTCAGCAACAGTTTTATTTTATTTTATTTTTACAGAATAATCTCCATTGCTGCCTCCCAGAAATAACTCCTGTCTTTTGGCCCATGCTCTCAATTGTTTTTACCAACAATTCAGTGACATTACCAAAACACTGCCAATAAAAACATTCATGGAGATTTACTGTGGTTTGTCCCCTGAAGTCGATGTTCCTGTTTCCTGCTGCAGCATATTATGGCATGTTGCAGCTTGCCTGTATTGTATTGTGGACGGTTCTCATGAAAAACGTTTTTCCACTGAACATATAAAAAAATACTGTCATGTGCTGACAAGGTCTTTGGTTTGTTTTCACTACCAAATGCATTGTTTCTGGAAGGACAAGCTGCTGTTTTTCAACTGTCATTTCCATGAGCACCACAAACACAATGGTTATCTAAAAAACCTCAATAAATAAAACCTTAATTATATGTAATTTGTTTTAATTATTTTTGTAATATGACCCTTTAAAACACAATGTCTAAGTCCAGTCATAACATTAATTCGATTTATCAGCCTAATATGTGTGATTTAAACCTTTTTCCTGGCACAACCCTTCGTAAATGTATAGAGACGCACTCTATGAATCCTTTACATTGGATTCTAAGTGACGGTTAATCTTTTGTAAAGTAAGTCATCATAGCAAACTGAAAGGAGCTTAAGTAATCACGACAACAGACTACAACACTGTCCGTTGCCGTTAGTTATGTCTCAGTGGTGTGTAATGAGGTATATAACAAATGTCTGGACGAGGGGGCGGCAAGGCTCATGCTCCACTTCGAAAATACCCAGCTCATTTCCTGTCTCCTTCTGCCTGTCTGCTTAATGTTTTTTTTCAAGGCTGTGAGCTCTATTACTCGGTGCTGATCCCGCCCCTGTTCCCTCTTTCATAACTCCTGACTGATTCAAGACAGCACGGCACAGCTCCTCGCATGTGGTTTATATATTGTTTTCACAGCTGTCCGGTACAATCAGGGCCTTCAAAAGGAGAGTGAATGAGACCTCATAAGAGATGAAATCATACCAACCCCAGGGTCTGGCACTGGGAGTGCCACCCCCCCACTTCACGCCTTGGCTCTTGTCTGAAACCACTAATGCAACTTTGACGAGCACTGTGTGATACCACTAATGCAGCCAGACGGGATAACAACAAGCATTTTTGTTTTTTAAAAGAAAGTTAAATTCAACCCCTGCTACTAATGCTGTGTGTCTGACTGCTCAAATGTTCCCGGCAGAAAATGCATAGACCACACAATATTGCAGTATTTAGAGACAGAGACTTTAAGTTTCTGTACAAAAGGCTGAGAGGTTCTGGAAAATGATCTGTGTCGTCCCTCATATGTTTCTTTTTAAAGCCTTTCAGATAAAGGCAACGCAAAATGAGCAAATCATACGCAGTACAAATAGGATTCAATTTCACATCCCTTTTTTCATATTAACAAACCAGTCACAAGACATTATGCAATACAAACTGGTGTACAAATGGCCACAATCCAAACATCTGTTGTCTGAATTTTAGTTCTGTTTTCATTATGCGACTTCAAAGTCTGAAACCCTCCCCCACAACATTTTAACTACGCCAGGAAATCTCCAGTTCATGGTGAAATAAATGTGTTTTTGTGCAATGACCAAGCTGACGTGTCTGGCTGTGGGAGTTAGTGGTTTAGAGAAGAACTGAGTGAGAGGTAAACAACTTGGGAAAGGCCACTTGATTAGGAATTAAT